ACATCGCTGTGTATGAAACCGACGTAAACGCGAAAACCACACATTTAGAGGTGATGGTTAGAAGCTTTATATTGTTATTGTAAAACTACATTCTTGAAGATCGAACCATTCACATTGTTGGGTGTTTGCGCTGGACTTATTCCATATCCGCACCATAACCAGTCACCCAGAAATACCTATCAATGCGCTATGGGTAAACAAGGTAAGTCGAAAACGCGCTTCACTTTGGGGAAATAAGCGTACTTTAATTCGCAGCAATGGGAACGATTGGTTACAATCAACAAAAGCGAATCGACTCAATCATGTATCTACTTTGTTATCCCCAGCGGCCTCTTGTGAAATCGAGGGTACGTTTAAGGCTTTTCATAAAGGCGCTGGATTTTCTTAGATCCACCTCAAAGCATCGAGTCTGTTTCAGACTATCGAGTTGATCAATTTCGAAAAACTGCCTGCAGGCGCGAATGGCATAATTGCTGTCATGTCTTATAGCGGATACGATATCGAAGACGCCTTAGTACTTAACAAAGCATCCTTAGACAGAGGTAGCGTTGTCATCATCGCTTCATCCAGTTTGTAAAATTTTATGTGCTAGGGTATGGAAGATGTCTAGTCTATAAACACGCTAAAGGAACTGCAAGAAAATACCCAAACCAAACTTATGATAGATTGATGGGACCTTCCTTGGATCCGCTTACCCGCAAACCCATCTACAAGCATAGGGTAAGATCTGTCTGAGCAAGTTCATATTGCGCGTATCTTATTAGTTCATGTCTTCAGGTCTTGGATCAAGAGGGAATAGTTTTCGCAGGCGCTCGTATTTATTCAAAACAAACGATGATAAATAAGCACATGCCTGTAGTATCTCAGGAAACTTCATCGCCTACTGCTCAGCGTAAGTTCAAGTTTTGTGCTTAAACTCATCCAGCTAGACAGTATCTCCCTCTATTCTTCATCGTTAATCCAGTCAAGAGAAGTATTCAAATCAATTTGAGTTTTTAGTTGGATTTTTGCAATTTTTGCATATCACTTCTCAATGAAAACGTGAGAATATGATATTTAGTGTGGGTGTTCTTGTAAGTTCGTTCATAAAGATAGCTGCGGTGCTTTTGTTTGCAAGGGCAGTCTTATGTTGGCAGTTTTAGCATAATGTGCCAGGGCTGAGCTCTTTGAAAAGAAAGTTGTTTTGTTTTTTTCCTTAACGCATTCAAAACAATATGTCCGTTGTTGCGATGTGATGTGGTAGATTTCGTATGCGCCGATTTGGTTTCAAACACTGGCAGCAGCCATTGTGCCATCCCGAACTTGTAGATTCGATTCATCGAGGTTGCGTTTTTATTTGCATTTAGCTAAAAGAAATTTTGCTGGATTGTCTTCTTCTGTGAATATGTCCGTTGTTGGTATTGTGAGGAGCCATCTTCTATCGCTGAAGCGATTTTTGTGTTATCTGCGTTAACTTTCTTTATGCTACCGACGTAACCATACTTATGACCTTTAAACTTGAATTAAACGTCAACTATAAGACTTTCAAAAATCACGTTTTTGACTTTGTAGTACCATTATTTACTTGTATTAGGTGCGAAAAATTCTGAGAACGTCAGTATAGAGGTTAAAAGACATGCGCTTTGCAACTGAGAGAAAACTGTGTTGTTTGGACGTTTCTGCGAAAAGTTATGAATTTCCAGTCTACAATGGAAACCCCAAATTTGATTAAATTGTCACTTTTCTCAAAATTCATAACTCTTCGCGGAAAGGTCCAAACAGCATAATTTTTCCTCATTTACAAAGAGAATGTCATATAACCTCTATATTC